GCATGGCTGCTGGTGAGGGTGGTCTCCCTGGGGTGGGCGGCTAGACGGCGGACCCAGATCATGTAGGAGGAAAGAAGTCACAGAGCGCAGCTTGAAACTTTGTTCTAGTTTCACTGAGAAAACCTTGGACAATTTAAGCAGGGGAACTGTATGATCAGAGTTTCATTTTAGAAAGTGCACCGCCGCCGCCGCCGCCACCCTTACCGGGCCGGTCTGAGCGGGAATCCTAGATGTCCACGTTCACCCAGAGAAACAAAACAAAGGGTCACAAGAGGAGCTGAAGTGAGCAAGGAATGGAGGTAGGAGACCAGGTCGTCTTGCAGGACTCCAGTACTAGATCAAGTACCAGACTCTAGAGATCAATCCAGAGAGAGAGGGGGCAGTGAGATAGCAGAGGTGTTCTGGAGGGAGAGCTGGGGCATTGCTTCTGGGTAGGAAGGTAAAGTAAGTACGCCAACATTCACTCGGTGTCATTCCGCCTGTATGCTCTCATTACCCCCACTTGTGTTAATTATCCTTGTGTCAGTTCATACATAATCTCAATTATAAAGCTATATGTAAAATGGGAAAGTAGTCTGTAGTCATTCAAAATAAATGTGGAGAATCAATGCATCTACTTAAAGGTGAGCTCCTCAGAAGCATATTCAAGTTTCTGCCCAGAAACACAGTTCTATTGAGCAGAAGTATCTCTGCCTAGAAGACAGTGCAGTGGAGAGAGAAGAGGAGCAAGAAGAGAAGAGGGGCAACATTGAACTTGAGGCTCTGCTTTATTTTTAACCAGAAATAAAGGATGTATAGATGTGAAAGAAAACAGAAGGGATAATAAAACCCAGGCATATAAGTCCAAAGAGCTGTTTTGGCTTAATTAATGTTTCCTATTCTACTTCTCTGATTTCTAATGCCTATTGCAATTGGCTACACAGAACTCACAGACAGAATTGATGATTAAAAGGGTTTATTAAGGAAGTTAACAAGTTGTAATGCCAGTGAGAAATGCTCAGGATTGAGCTGTTTATCAGGACGTGCTACAAAGTTCTTTCCATTCTCTAATACGTGTCAAAGGGGGCACACCACTCCACCAGAAGCCTCCATCCAAAAGCATTCAGCTCAGACGCTGTGGGTCAGCAATCTCAACTTCTCCAACTCGGTGCCCAGAGGCACCCTACTCCACAAGTCACCTCCAGCACAAAAGCACTCAGCGTGACCTGCTCTATGGGTTGGGAATTCTGTCACTTTGACCCTTGCCCTGACTCTCGGTTCTCCTGCAGCTCCTCTGGTGTCATAGCTGCCTCCTGAATCCAGAGGTTCACTGTGCAGGGATCTTGGATCCAGAAGATGTGCCCCACTTCTGGTTCTTACTGGTAATAAGATCTCCTCCTCCTCCTCCTCCTTCTAGGAAGCAGGATGACATTGCAGGGAATCCTGCTCTTAACTACTCATAAGTGACTCTTATTAGTATCTTCCCCCAACTTCTGACCCCAGACCCAGGCAGGAAAAGGTGGTTTGGTGGGAGTTACAGACTTTGACTAGAAGAGACACATTAAACAATCCACTGCCCCTGCAAGGGCATTACGGACTTCTTCAGTTAATGGAGGCAGAGAAGAGTGGATACTATTGTAGAATATTTTGTCTACCAAATGGTTAAAACAAAACAGAATCCATGTGACTTATGAAAGACTCCGCTTTAGCTATATGAAAATGATCTCATGCGGACCCTGGTTTCCCCAAGGTGCTTAATAGATAAATCTTTTCCTTGTATTTTGGGTCTGTGTACATGAACTACTGTCATTTTATCTTGACCTGATAAAAGCCTATTCCTATGTAGCGTGCATAGAACTTCCACCTCCGAGAAGATGAAGTCGATGCGCTTTTCCCTATTCCTCCTGCTGAAAACGGCTAAAAATATCTGGGTGTTCAAAACAGCCACTGTACCTAAGAGGTGGTGAGAAGGCAGGTCAGCTAGGAAACCTGGGACCCGAGAAATGACACAAGTGTGACTGCCCAGGGTTTCCCTTTAATCTCCCATATCCCAAACCAAGAAGAACCAAGAAGAGTTAACCACCTCGAAACACCAATGCCCCCCACTACCCCGCCCCCCCACACACACACAATCTCTCTATCCAGAGGACCAGAAATTAAAAAGTCTTATCAAGTCAGAAAACCTTGAGACAGCAACCACTACAGGCAAGCACCACAGGAAACAGTGCAATTCAAGCACCAGCACCTCCACAATGTCGACACAGGCTGAGTGGGAGGCCTAAACTATGACGATGCCCCCCAAAGTCCCAACCAAGGTGGTGTCAAAGAAGAAAAGGATTTTCGTTTTGACAAACATACAAAAGCAATTCAATGGCGAAAAGATGGCCTCTTCACCAAGTGGTGCTTGAGCAATTGGCATTCAAAAGCAAAACAAGACCCAGGTCTCACAGACTGTACAGAAAGTAACTCCAACATGGCCCAAAGAGTCCATTACGTATATTTCATAGACATAAACATATAACGTCAAACAACAAACTTTTAGAAAAGAGCATCAGGGAAATTGTTTCGGGTCTTGATCTTGAAAAAGACTTGATATTAAAAGTAGAATCCATAAAAGAAACATTGATAAATTGGATCTTATTTATAAAAAATGGAGTCATTTTACTCCATAACATATCATGTTGAAATAATGGAAAGATTAGCGACAGACTGGGAGAAAGTGCTTGCAAACCATAGAGTTGAGTAAAGGCTGGCAGCTCGAATATGCTGACCTCTTCAGAACTCTACGGGGTAAAATCCATCAATAGACAGTGTACAAATGCAATGCAGAGATGTTTCCAAAAAGACCGTCTACAGATCACAGATACACACGTGGGAAGATGGTCAACATCAGTAACCATTAAGACACTAAGTAAGTACACAAGGAAATATCTCTACATACCTATCAGAATGGCTAAAATGAGAAATAGCGACTCCACTAAATCCCAGCAGAGAAACTGGATCATTCTTCCATGGTTAATAGAAATGGGAACTGATATAGCTGCTCCAGAAAAAGTCTTGGAAGTTTCTTTTAAAAAAGAAAAGAAAACTAAATGTGCAACTACAATAGGAGCTGTCCCAGAGAAATGAAGACTTGAAAGTAGGTTCACACAGAAAACCTCGAAGTGAATGTTTGGAGTAGACTTGTTCGTCATACTCAGAATCTGAAAGCAATCCAGATGGACTGAATTGGCTGAATGGGTAAGTAACCGGTGGCATATCTCGTCCATGAAATGCTTTTGCTGCTGTTGCTAGGTGCCAGGGAGTCCGTTCTCACTCTAGGCATCCCACGTAACAACAGAGGCAAGCCCTGATCTGCCGGTGCCATCCTCCCGCCGTTCCTGTGTTTGAACTCGTTGCTGCAGCCTCTGAGCCAGTCCTCTTTCTTCCTGACCCCCTCCTTTACCAAGCACGATGTCCTTTCCCCACCCTGACGGCAGGTCCCAAGTACATGAGATGCCGTCTCCCACTGTCACTTGTTAGGAGCACCCTGGCTGTACTTCCTCCTAAACTGACTTGTCTGTTCTTCTGGCAGTCCATGGTACATTCAGTGTTCTTCACCAAAGGCATCAATCCTTCTAATCCATGAAAAGGGATGGAAAACACCATGGCTTCAGTCAGGCCCAACTTGGTCTTCAAAGGGGATCTTTGTAACATTTTGAAGAGGTCTCGTGCAGCAGACTGTCCCAGTGCAGTCTGTCTTTTAACTTCTTAACAGCTGCCTCTATAGCACGGAGTGTGAGATCCAAGTAAAAGAAAAAAGTCCCTGACCATGGCAGGCTTCCATTTAGCATGATGTTGCTTCTTATGAGGACTTTTGTTTTGTTTACATTGGGCTGTAATCCAACTGAAGGCTGTAGTGTTTGACCTTCATCAGCAAGTGCTTCAAGTCTTCCTCACTTTCAGCAAGCAAGGTTGTGTCATCTGCCTAGCACAAGTTGTTACTAAATACTCCTCCCATCCTGATGCTGTAGTCTTCTTCATTTAGTCCAGGATATGAAATATTAAACCAAGTCAAAGCTACTATCAATGAGTCAATGCCAACTCATAGTGACCCTGTAGGACAGAGTCAAACCATTCCCCAGGGTTCCTGAAGCTGGACTTTTTTACAGACTCACACAGCCTCATCTTTCTCCGGCAGAGCAGCTGATGGATTTGAAGCATGGACATTAGGGTTAGCATCCCAACACATCACCCACTGCACAACTATGGAATACTACTCAGTGATCAAAGGAACTAAGTGTTGATTGAACTAATCAGGGACCATAAGAGACTTGGAAAAATTTTCAGAAAATGACTGTGAACAAGCATCAACACCCACAAAAAGCAAACCATGGAATGTTATAGACTACAAATTTGTATCACATTTTTAAAATGACAGAATCATAAAAATAGAGAACAGATTAGTAGTTTCTGAGGGGCAACAGAGAAGTGGGACAAGGCGCAGGATCCATGTGGTGCTAGAAGTGTTCTGTGTCAGGACTTTATCAATGCCAATACCTGGTCATGCTATTATAGTCTAGTTTTGTAATCTTAGGAGGAAACTGGATAAGAGGTACCCAGAATTGCAATGTATTATTTCTTACAACTATGAAGTAAATCTATAACTACCTCAAAATTAAAAGTATTACTTAAAACTATACGCCCTTAAAATGCAGTACACAGGAAAATGTATGAATTTATGAATGATAAAATGCACAAACCATCTCAACATGTTCGATAGCTTCCTATAACCTCATCTTGTTCAGTTATTGTCCTTTGACTGATTTATTTTTTCAACAACTCGATGATCGCTAGATTGGTTTGGGATCACTCTGTGATGGGTTTGCTGTAGTGTTCTCGTTGTTTCCAAGGAAAGCATGGTTAAGTGGAAAGAGTCCAGGTGTATGAGACATGAATTGTTGATCATTCCGTGTTCCAAGAGAATGCCTCAAGTCTACACCCACTGTCTAATAAACTCCCCCGTTCCTTTTCATCTCCAGGGAAGCCACTCATAAAAGCCTCCCGCGTGACCGTGATCAACACGGAGGAGCCTGCAGTCACAGTTGATATCGGAAGCACCGTCAAGACAGTGCAGGGAGTCAACGTGACCATTCACTGCCAAGTGGCAGGTGAGCAATCGCATGTACTTGCCCCCTTGGTGCAGATGTCCTGGGAGCAGATACAAAGACAAGTGAGACTCGTGTTCTGCTGTGGTCAGGGGAAAGACCAGCCAGGCACATCAGGCACTCTGAAAGAAAGATATTGCTATCCAGGTTCAGAGGAGGCAAGATTCACCCTGATCGAGGGCTGGGAGGAGTGGCTTTCTCCCTCAGTGTTGCATACTGATAGCATGTGCCCATGAAAAGATGGGGACAGAGGGCACTCCGAGTGAAGCAGAGAGAGTGAGAAAAGTCATGGGCATAGAAGAGCTCCAAGGGTTTACAGGGTGTGGTGTGTGCTTTAGTCTCGTGGGAATCGAGTCACTGGAATGCTGTGGATGGACTTGATGTGAACAAGGTGTACTGCAGCTGGATCGTGGGGACACTGCATACCTGGCTTCAGGGTGCCATCTAAGGTAGCTAGGCAGTGACATTAAGGAGCCCTGTTTCCTGAAGAATAAGCCACCAACAGTGGAGACAGCAGAATGGAGACAGCGGTCAGTGAAAGATGAAAGTAATAATTTATAATTTATCAAGAGGTCACAAGGGTGGGGGGAGGGAAAAAATAGGACCTGATACCAAGGAATCAATAGAAAGTAAATGTTTAGAAAATAATGATGGCAACATATGTACAAATATGCTTGATACAATTGATGTATGGATTGTTATAAGAGCTGTAAGAGCCCCAATAAAATGATCTTTTCATTTAAAAAAAGGGTGGATAAACCCTGTAGTGGCAGAACGCTGAGATCCTATTAAGGATGATGGTATAATTGGGGAATGGGTGATGATGAAGGTTGAACAGCATGATGAACATAATTAAGATGACTGAACCGTATGCATGGAAACTGTTGGGATGTCACAGCCTTGTTACATGGGTGTGTGGAATCCACAGCAGCTCAGAGTGACACGGGTATAGACAGTGCTTGCTCCCGCACCATCCCCCAGCCTGTGTCAGGTTTGAGCGCCTTGTTGCAGGTGGCGCCCATCCACCTCTTGACCTCATCTTTGCTCTCCCGGCCATGACGTCCTTTTATAGCAAACATACGTATTTGCCACAATTTTAAAACCAGTGGGTTTTCCCTCCCAAAAAAGGAAGGAAAAAAATGAATGGCTCCAGGCCACTTAGTGTCCCCTGATTTTTGTCTTCCATCAGACACGCCCGACAGTGGCCACTCTACATGCATCCTCAGGCTCCCCAGCGACACCCATCTCTGAGTGCATAGGCAACAGCACCACGTGCTCCCGGAGTTTCTTAGATCTCGGCCCCATCAGGCAGAGAGTTACCTCAGCTTGTGGTCTATATGACCAGAAAACTCATTTCAGAGTATGTGGAGGAAGGCTTTAATCTGGACATATTGTTTCTGAAGAGCTGTCAAGTCTGATTGTCTCAGAAATGTTCTGCTAGCCCCAGGAATTCAGAAGGATAGCTTTATCCCTATAATCACACATTAGCTTTCTTAGAAACCAGCCCTTGTCCTGTGAATTTAACCTCATCAGCAAAACCATCTAGAAATAGATCCCTTCATTCCCTCTGCCCCATATAGGGAGGAAGACAAAACTTCAGACAGGCGGCCCCTCTGTGCAGGAATTGGTGGTGTCAGGATGGCCCCTTCTTCAGAATGGTCACTCCCACCTGATCACGAAGAACACAACCCACTGAGACGAAACGTAACATGACTGAAGAGGCATGTGGACGAAGTTGGGTCTCTTCTTGAGACTGGAGATTGATAGGAAGTAAAGAATGGAGAAGGGGCGAGAACAGGGTCAGGAAGGGACTGGGCATTTGGAGGAGATTGAGATTCCAGATTATGTTCATGGTTTTCCTGGTCATGATGTTAGTCTTCATTTTCATTTTTATCCACAAAGTCACTTGTAATAATTGTAGTTAAAATCGGAAGAAAAAAAACCTTGTGTCTCTGTCATTTTGTAAAATAAGATAATGAGTCAAAGTGGATGGTAAAGAGCCAGCTTTGGATTAGAGCTCACCTGCAAGTTTGCTAGACAAGTCCATTGTCACTGAACTGAGTGCCCAGTCAACTGTCATGCTAATTGGCAGAAGGAAGGACTTTCAAGCCACAGTGACTCCTACGCTTCCTCCCCACTAAGAGTGAACTCCACCCTGTCTGTAGACCAGGGACTTGGTGACCTACCTAGACTAATTGCTCTCACATCAATTTCAACACATGCACGTCAACTCCCTATGGTGCTGAGTAGAACAGTGCTCAATAGGATCGTCAGTAACTGTGACCTTCCAGAAGCAGGTCACCGGGCCTCTCTTCCCAGAGTTGGCAGCCCAGTGCCTCGCCATTTTCACCACCTGGGCGCTCTGTGACCTCCTGACTGGCTGGGTAGGACCCTGTATGCCCCCATCGCACTGTAATGGCCTTCCATGTACAAGCTTAGGGATTCGTGTGGGATCCGGTAATGAACAGGGAAGTGGGACTTCATCAACGATAAGCGTGGTTACTCTTGAAGATTTCAGATCAAAACCATTCATCTTATTTGTGTGGGCAATTTTTACTGACCGTTTTTTTCAAGGTTGTGCCCAGTAGACATAGAAAAGAAAGGAACAATTTTCAGAAAGCTCACAGCCTGAAAAGGATAAGAGTTACAAAAATGCTTAACTCTAACACAGTGTGATGCGTGGATAACAAGGGCTGTGTGTTCTTGTGAAAGAAACCTCGTTGTATTGGAGACGGTTCTACTAGTATAGAAGAGTTAAAAATATATATATATATATATAAGATGCCAAAAGAAAAGAAAATACAAAACCCCATTCTCTAAGCTACAGTCTAGCATATTTCCTTAATTATATTTTTTGAGGGTTTTTTTTAAATTTTTGTAATCATTTTATTAGGGGCTCATACGACTCATCACAATCCATACATACATCAATTGTGTAAAGCACATTTGTACATTCATTGCCCTCAT